GTGAAAGATCTCAAATCTCAGAGGAACATTTTGCCATACTAAGGTTTTTATTTTATTTTCTGTTTTTTACCATCTAAAACATAAAAAAGGAATGCATTGAAACTTTACGAAGTATATCATGCAGATATTTGGCTTCCTGAATACAGTGAAACAGCCAATAACCTGAATGGTCAACTTTTAAAATTGTACTACATTCACAACATATTATGTATAGTCTATCTGCAAAGAAAGGCAAGTTGTGGACATTTTAACAATATCAGGATACCTACAGAAAGTGTACCGAGGCTGTGCAGAGTCAGTTCCAAGCATGTGTAGCCATGGCAAATAAATATTCATGCCTTCTTCAAATGAAACTGAGGACATCAGTATCGTTTTTTTCTTTTCTACAAAAATGATGATCTTGATAGAGGAAAAATGCGACATGTACTGCAGCCCATGATTCTAAGACACAGAGCAGCTCTTTTGAACCTTTCAGCACAATACAAAACTACTTCTATTTCTTCATGTTGCTGTTTCCTTTCGGCATTATTTCTTTGGAGATGGCAGTCAGTCATTTGCAAAGGGCTCTAGGATGTTAACCCACAATCTCTGTAGGGTCGGTGACCAACTTGGATCCATCCCATGATGTTTTGAACTGTTCAGGGACAGGAAATTCTTTCTGCACAAAAACAAGATTGACAACATCACCTGGCTAAACATGTGGCTGTTATTAAAACTGTAGTAGTCCTATCAGTGATATATGAATTTATTTTATTTATTTCAAAATGGCTTACATCATTAAAAGACAACAGTGAAAGGAGAAAAATTTTAAGATTCAGACATAAAGAACCCTTCAGGACCACATAGAGAATACATGTGGCATTTCTGCAGTTTCTTCAGCACTACTGTACTAGATTTGTGATTTCTCCTCCTGATGTTGTGTGATGGCAACTTTTCCACCTTTTTCAGTAGAGAATTGAAGCATAATGTTTCATAAGTAGTAACGAACTGCCACATTGAGAAGTTTAAGTTTGCTGTGCAGTTAATGTGGCTGAAAATCTCCTTTGCTACAGCAGGTTACAAGGAGGCTCTACATTAAACACACACAAAAATAGATTTTTCTGGATATCACATGGATGTTTCATAGATTATTCATTCATGATTTCAAATACTAATAGCATAGATATTGGTTCAAATACTTCATTTTAACTTTCCATGGTTATTTGAAAGGTTTCCTTTCAATTTTGTAGATGCTCCAGTTCTTTATTCTATCTCCCAGTGATAAAGTTGGCTATTATAGGCAGGAATCGCTCTATTTACCATTTCTTTGTCTTTTGAAATCTAAATCATGTAATCTACTAGTGTTGTTCTCCTCAGTAGTATTCACCACTGAACTTCTTTGTGCATGAGGTCTAATTTTGTATCTTGTGTAAAGTTACAGAGTTTATAGTTATATATTGCTAAACCTATGCTATGAACCACTGAGTTCCTGTATAGAAGCATGTATAGAAGGCTTTTTGCATCTTGGTGACTTCCCAATTGTCCCCCCCAAATTCCACATATCTTCTGATCATTCAAACCGCTTGTGCTGGAACCCCCACGTCACGCCTGCCCATCATGGTGAGCTCAAGGGCAGGAGCCTATGAGAGGACAGGAGGGGCGGAACCAAAAGAACAGTTAGACAGAGAGAGGAGAGTTGGAGAAAAGAGGTTTTGAGAAAGGGAATTGAAGAGAGAGTTAGGAGATTGAATTGAGAAAGTTAAGCGAGAATGCTAGATTGAATAAGAGTTTCTTTTTTTAACATTTTATTAGTTTTTCAATCTATCTACATTGGTTTGTGCTTGTCAAACATCGTGTTACATGCTTTGCTTACAATTATTTGTTTTTTACATCTCAGTGTCTTCCCGGTTGTTCCCCCAAATTCCAGACATCTTTCAACATTCAAACCATTTCTGTACATATTTTAGTATATAATATGACTACAGTGGTGCCTCGCTTAACGAGCGCACTGTTTAACGATGAATCCGCATAGCGATCTGTTTTTTCAGATCGCTAATGCGAATGCATTACGATGTTTTCAATGGCAAAACATCGCATTGCAATGATCGGTAAGCGTTTTGCTTACCGATCTTTGCATTGCAATTTTTTAAACAGCTGATCGGCAGTTCCAAAATGGCCGCTGGACGCCCAAAATGGCCGGCGCAACCATTTTCACACCCTGCCCTCGCTAACCGAGGGCGCGAAAATGGCGGTGCTATGGAGGAACTTCGCTGAACGGTGAGTTTGGGGCCCCATAGGAATGCATTAAACAAAGTTTAATGCATTCCTATGGGGTTTTTTGATCCATTTAGCGATGTTTTTGCATAGCGACGATTAATCCGGAATGGATTAACGTCGCTTTGTGGGGCACCACTGTACTATCATAATATTACTCTCATAGTGTACAATATTCTCAAGGTCTTCAAGTGGTTCCAGATCCATGCCCCAGCTTTATATCTAGTTTAGTTTACCTAAAATGAGAACCCACCATATTACATCTTTACGCTGATTAGGGCTCCCTTATTTAAATTTAATTCTCCTTTTTAATATTAAGGATATACCCCTTTACAATTTCCGATGTTAAATATATACGTACATGTTTTTCAACATTAAGCGGCCCCTTCTTGTTTTCCCCCTTTTCATCTTTCTAATTAATTCCCTCTCTCATTTCTCTTTTTTCACTTTGTGTTTCTGTGTCTCTAAGCATTCTGCCATCTTTCATGCCCTCTGAAACCATTTTGTACATCTGATTTATGTCCACTAGCTCTTTATGGACTTGGTCTATCTTCAATAGATCTTCCAGGCTTTTTTTTGGTTAATTTTGCTGATTTTCTCCCCTTGTCTTCCCTTAATACTCTCTTCGGCTCCAAGATTGACGTTGTTTCTCTTAGGTTTTC